CCTGTTTCTGTTGAAAGTCGTGAATTGATCTGTGTGGGAAACGTCGGCAAAAACACTTTGAAAGTCCAGTTTACCTTTAAAGAAAACAATGAAAAGATGACACTCCGAGTTGAACCCAAAATAGTTGTCATTCCACGTGGAAAAGCAGTTGAATTTGAAGTTTTCATTCAACCAAACTGTTCATGTAAAATAGACGACAAACTTATTTTGATATCTGTTGATATGAAAAAAGGAGAAAACTATGAAATGCCAATTTTTATAAAAGCAGAGACAGAGATGTCGACTCGTTTAGACCCCAATGAAATTAATGAAGAAAAGAAACTTGGCGAGGGGTCTTTTGGAATTGTCTACAAAGGAACTTATCGAGGGAATGTCGTTGCTATTAAGAAGATGAAATTGAACGGAAGTGATAAAACAAAAGTAGACGAGTTTGAGAAGGAAGTCCTAATGTTGGATAAATTTAGGAGTGAATATATCGTCCACTTTTATGGCGCTGTATTTATACCAAATAAGATATGTATGGTCACTGAATTTGCACAATATGGGTCTTTACAAGACTTAATGAAACATAAAAAAACAGAAGAAGTAAAAAATCCAACACGTATTAAGTTAATGTATGACGCAGCAAAAGGATTGGAATATTTGCATAATAATGGCATTTTACACAGAGATATCAAACCAGACAATTTCTTAGTGTTTTCATTAGAAAGTGGAATTGATGTGAACGCCAAATTGACTGATTTTGGGTCATCAAGAAATGTGAATATGATGATGACTAACATGACATTCACTAAGGGTATTGGTACACCTACATATATGGCGCCTGAAGTTTTAAAACAAGAAAAGTACAAGAAAAGTGCAGACATCTATTCGTTTGCTATTACTATGTACGAGTGTTTTATATGGAAAGAAGCTTATCCAAAAGAAGACTTCAAATTTCCATGGAAAATAGCAGAGTTTGTTAACTCTGGTAAACGATTTGATAATACTCAAAACATTTCAAATGATCTGTTTAAACTCATTACAAAGTGTTGGTGTCAAAATCAAATCGAAAGACTCAAAATTGAAGATATCACAAAGAAGCTTCAAACATATCTAAATTAATTAAATAACCAATTCAGAAAGGCACTTTTAATTATATATAAAACAATAAATCAAACAAATAACCCATTCAATTTTTAATAATTAAAAACACAATTTAAATTAAAATAATAATAAAATAATAAAACAAATAATAAATCAAATTATAAATTTATTATTTGTAAAAAAACTTAGAAATATAACAATTGTTTTAAGTGTTTTAATTAATTATATTGTTATTATTAATAAATATGATAAAAAATATTTTTAAGAAGTTATTATGTTCAACTTTTTTGAACTTTTGGACTTCAATTAATTTGAAATCGATGTTTTCGAAATTAAATAATCCAAACTCAATATTATTAATTCAAAGCAAAAAATTCTTTTATTTTTCTGAATTGATAGAATAACCATTGACCTTTTTAAATTAAAATATTTAAAAAATCCATTGGTCTGTTGTTCATTATTAAAAAAGATCAAAAAACTTGAACATTTATTTGTACACAATTAATTAAGTCGTTTATCATAGTAACTATTAATTATTACCCTTATTTAATTACTTGTTTATAATTATATTTTTATTACCCTTTGTGCCATACAATAATATTTAAATCAATATTACAAACTCTGTTTAATCAAATGGCTAACACTTTTGTGAAATCTGCCAACACAAAAGTTTTAAAAGAATTGGACTTTTCTGATCGTCGAGATTATGAAGACTCAATGAGGGGCTTTATTTGCAGTGTTGATGGAGGAGTTATTCCAAGTAACAAAGGTGGTAAGTCTTTTGATGTTCATCACAGTGACTTTCTGTTAAGTACTTGTCCTGAAACAGTTAATCCTTCCTTATGGCGCCAAAGTCAGTTAATCAGAATAGACGGTCTCTTTGAATTGATTCCAAACAAAGTGTATCAATTTAGAGGATACGATGTTGCCAACATGTCATTTATAAGAGGTGAAAAGGGGTGGCTTATAATAGACACTTTATGTTGCATGGAGTCGGCTGCTGCTGGTCTCAAATTGTTACGAGAAAAGGTCGCCAATCTTCCAGTGACCTGTGTGATGTTGACTCATTCTCATGGAGATCATATCAAAGGACTTGATGGGGTACTTGAGAAAGACACTAAAATAGTAATACCCAAAGATATGTTTAAAATGCATTTTGCAGAGGAACTGCTTGCTGGAATAGCAATGGGAAGACGAAGCTTTTTCCAATTTGGAGTGACCCTTGAACACAATGAAAAGGGGTGTTTAGGTGGTGGAGTTGGGACGTATTACTCTCTTGGTCAAATCACTGAATCCTACAACTTTGATCCAAACAATTTGTATGAAATTGGAGAGGATCAAACACTGACTATTGATGGTGTAGAAATTGATTTCATGTATACTCCCAACGCAGAAGCACCAACAGAGATGATGATGTACTTCCCACAATTAAAAGCAGTTTGTACTGCCGAGGAAATTAACAGGACTTTACACAACTTATACACCCTTCGAGGTGCTGTTGTTCGTAATGGTAAAGATTGGTCGAAATACATCGACAATTTGTTGGACAGATACTCTGAAAATGTTGAGTGTTCATTTGGTTCACACACGTGGCCGACTTGGGGAAATAAAAACATAGTAGAGTATTACGAGAAGCAGAGAGACATGTACAAGTTTATACACGACCAGACTTTGAGACAAGCAAATTTGGGAACAACAATCAATGAGTTGCCAGAAAAGGTAAAGTTACCAAAGACTTTAACTTCAGAGTTTTATAATAGAGAATACTACGGCACTGTCTCTCATAACACAAGAGCACAATATCAACTTTATTTGGGTTTTTATGATGGAAATCCAGCGAATTTGAATCCGCTCACACCTGTAAAATTAGGAGAGAAATATGTCGAAGCTATTGGTGGAGAAGACAAATGCATTTCAATGGCAAAAGAGTCATATGAGAGTGGGGAGTACCAATGGGCTATTACACTACTTAATAATGTCGTTTTTAAAAATCCACAGAATTATGAAGCCCGAAAACTGTTGGCTGAAATATACAGACAAAACGGTTATATGCAAGAAAGCTCAATTTGGAGAAACTGTTACTTGACAGCAGCATATGAACTGGAACACCCAATGCAAAAACAGGAAAAACTTCAAAGTGCCCTTGCAAGTACTTATTTGCTCATGAAGTTGCCATTTAATTACTTCTTTGACTTAATGGCAGTTTCAATGGAACCAATTGCTGTTGAAAATGTTGATGCTATATTTAATATTGAGTTTGAAGGAATAAAAGAGTTTGGAAGTGTTATATTGAAAAACTCTGTTTTGAACAACAGAGACCAAAGAGACAAACACCCAACATTGTCACTGAAGTGCAAGAAAGCAGATTTAGTTGATTTAATTGTGAAGAAAATTAACAGGGAAGAATTCTTGAAAAAAGAAGGCGTCACTTTGGAAGGAAAGAATGTTGAAGACTTATTTACTTTCGTGGATGCTATCAAAATTGCCACTCTAGATTTTAATATCATCGAGCCTTAATTAATTCTAATTTTTGAAGTTAAATTTGTTGACTGATATAATTTAATAAATTACATCAAAATATTATTTATTTTCTTCTTTGTAAAAAAGTACAAAAGGTTGTTATGCTATTTTTTTCAGCACTTTTTTACCAGAAAAGATTGAAAATATTCATTATAATGGAATATGACAAAAACATATTAAAGGATTTAAACTGATAGTATTTAAAAACAAAGTTATTTAATTTAGATTATAAAATTGAATTAAATAAAAAAGTTAAAATATTGAATATTTGATTATCCCATTATATAATGACGGGTAAAATAATAATAGTAATAATACATCAATCACTTTTTGGTAATAAGTATTATAATTTGGATAAATTGCGTTCTTTTCTTTTAAATTTTGTGGAAAAGGCGCAAATAATGACTTACAATAATGACTTAAACCAAATAAAACCAATAAAATCCACATTCAACCACCATACAGAAATTGCCACTTCTTATTTTCATTTCCAAAAATTCTTAATTGTGTACACGTCACCAATATAAAACTGGTTTATACGAAACAAAACAGTTTTTTTGAAGATATTTAGACAACAACTTTTGTCACTAAACAATACAGCAAAATCGTCTTTGAATCCAATTATGACTGACTTAAAAACTAAAATAGAGGCAATAATAACTCCAAATAACAAACCCTTCAAGAAAACCACCGCTCTTTATAAGAGTATTATTTACAATATAAACTCCACTTTTTAACCATTTGAATATAATGCGTATCGCTCTCATTCAAACTGACGTCTTCCCAACACTCGAAGAAACTTTTTCACAAATTTCAAAGTTAGTTGAAGAGACCCCCTCCGGCTTGTATCTTCTCACAGAAGTTTTTTCAACTGGGTTTTGCTTCTCACTTCCCGACATCGCACACAAAAATAGTGGTGACGATGTCGTCGATCGTCTTCAAGTAATTTGTGTAGAGAAAAATTGCTGTTTCATTGGTGGCATCTTAGTCGAGGAGAATGGCAAATATTACAATCGTGTGGTTATAGTAGACAAACGTGGGTTGATAGCGACATATGACAAGTACCACCTTTATCGACTTGGTTGTGAAGATTCTTTAGTCAATGGGAGTAAGCGAGTCATCTTCAAATATCAAGGAATTCGGATGTTGATAGTAATATGCTACGACCTCAGATTTCCAGCCTTTATACGATATTCAGAAACTAATGACTATGACATCATTATAAATCCAATTAACTACGGAGAAAAGGTCTTTCAAATAGCTGACCACTTTGCTGCGGCTCGTGCACTTGAGAACTCCGCGTGGATTTTTTGCACTAATCGAATAGGAAAAGATGGACTTGGTATTACATATAAAGGGAAGTCGTTTGTATATAATCACCTTGGTATTAAAGTCGCAGAGGCGGGCGAAAAGTGTGAGGCAATTAGTGTCAATTTTCATAAGAAAGAAGTTGAAGAATACAGACGTAAAATAGGGTTTGGAGAAAATTTCGACAAATTCAATTTCGAGAAGGAATTTGAGACTGTTGTTGTGGAGTAATTTTATGAGTATTTTTACTTTATAAATGATATATTTAATATTTATCATTTAATATAAAATTTTATTACAAAGAAAATAACAACTTTTTAATGAATAACATGAAATGGTTTTAAAAAGTCAAGAATCAAACCAATTGGCACTCTCCTTTATTTTGTTTTCTCTTTTCTTGTTTGAACGTATCACTGTAATAAGTCGAAATTATATTTTCTTTTAATTGTTTAATCCCACTTCCAGTTTTGTTCGAAACTTCATAGTAACTGGCATTTGATGAATGTGAAATATTATAATATTCATCATATGAATAGACCCTTTCTTGTAAATCACATTTTGTTTCGACGAGATATTCGCGGCAGTAATAATCAGTTAACCTACATCCATAAGAAAGCCATTTATTGGCATGTTCAAGGGATTCCTTTATGTCAAATGAAAAAATGCTAATTAATGCATTTGCTTCGTGCAAATATTTCTGACTTTGGTCCGAATCATCTTTTATTTCGCGGTAAGACATTTCAAAGTCTGTGTTATTGAAAGAGATATGTTCTATTATCTTATTTTGAGTATTTATTATATTTATATTTAATGAATGGTGGATGATAATGAAATAAAACAATTAAAATAAACATACTAATTCTTCTTGAAATGGTATAACTTTGTCTGAAAACAACAGACCCATAAAGCTATGAATTAAAGACGTCATTCCAACATTATCGTCACCAACAAAACAGCATTTGATGTGCGATTCTTTTGAATTACTCATGTTGATATATAAGTTCTTTTATTTTTTTAAAAAAATTATGAATTTGGATCACAAAAAACAATCCATAATAAAAACATTGATATTTTAGTATTTGTAAACATCAAATTGTTTTTCGTTTGTAAATAAAATAAGTCCAAATTATTTTAATTGGTATAATTATTTTTTAAAAAAATGGAATATTGAGATTATTGTTATAATTGCATATATTAATCAATGAACTTTATTTGTGTTTTAGTTTTATTAACTAAATGACCTTTAACATAAATAAAAACTGATTTTCATTAGCAAAAAAACTTTTTCAAAATAAAGTCAAAATTTTGATTTTTGTAATGAATTTTAATAAATTCTTTTGAAAATATACAAGAAATATATTGAAACTTTTAGAAAAATATACATTATTTAAAATTGTAATGTATAACACCTCTGTTTCTTTTATTTATCAATAAAATGTTTTTTTGAAGTTAATGATCAACTTTTTTTTTAAAAAAAGTTGTATTTTTAAAAATAATATTGATTGTTATTCCAAATCGTTTCTTTTTATTTTTAACAATATTAATAACATTTGAAATAATAATTAAAATTTTATTTATGAATTATCTAAATGAATGTTATATATCAAAAAATCAAATTCAACAAAATTTGAAATTTTATTACTTATATTTTTATAATTGACAATCAAATGCATTTTTGTTCACATTTTCAACACATTTGTTAAAAGTTAAAAAATACAAACGATTACATTACATTACATTTTTATTTAAAACTATACAAATAGAATGGTATGTTTTGAGGTTAAATCAGCTTTTTATTTCCAAAAACTAAACTTTTTTTACTATATGTTTTTATTATTAGTTGTACTGTTTGCACATGTTTATTCTCAACCATCCGATGTTACAGAAAACATGAGAGGAAAACTTTTTACATGTACATTAAAAGGTGGAGCATCGGTTTTAATGTTAGAAAAAGCTCAAACAAAAGTTCCCAATTACCCAAACATTTTTGATCAAAGGTTTATTGATGCAATCAAGGAAATGCTTGAATTACTTATCAAATTAAATAAATTTGCAAAAGAATCATATGACCGAATGCGTTTTGACGGTGATGCAGTCAGAGAAGTGGCTAATTTTGTAGTTCAAGCTTTTGGAACAGAAGGCAATTTGTGGTATTTATTGAATCGGTTATTTGCAAAACTTAATGCACTTGAACATTCAGAATTACCTCAACAAGAAAAAAGTGAACTTCAACTGCAGTTATACCTAACTCCATCTTTGTTTGATGCCTTATTTAATATTTTCAGAAAACTTGCAAAAAGAAAAGAATACCGACACGAGGTTATTGTACGACAAGCTGCTGATTTATTGAAACCATATAGTGACAAAATAAAAGCAGACGAAAAATTGTTTAAAAACACATTTGGAATAACTGAGAATAAACAAAAAGAACTTGAACCTGGTTATTATGAACAAGTTGCTGGTGCAACTATGGTAGGACATGTTCAAGAATATTTTCTTTAAACAAATAAACAAATCATATTTATTTTTAACATCTTATTAAAAAGTTATTTCTACAACTTTAAATTTGTTAATTATTTAATTATAAAAAACACAACACAGTGATAAATTATAGTTCCAAAATAATTTATTTATTTCATCATTAACTCCTCCAAACGATGAACCAAAACATCCGCTTTTATTCTATCCTTTGGGTCTTGTTGCCAACAATCTTTAATAATTTCTTGGAAAGGGATGTCCAAGTCTGAAATATTTGGTCTTTTCCCACTTGCAATTTCATCTGCAATGTCCCATGCCTTTGGGTACAATTCTAAAGGAAATACATTTCCCCATCTGAAAGTTTCTGCCATAGTAATAGCAAATGAATAGATATCCGATGCTGTTTTGTACTTTTTCTTATTTAACAACTCCGGAGACATAAATTTCGGTGTTCCAATTCCCTTAGTGAATGTCATGTTAGTCATCATCAAATTGATGTTTCTTGACGCGCCAAAATCAGTCAATTTAGCATTCACCTTTTCATTTTCGTCAATAGAGAATATTAAGATGTTGTCTGGTTTGATGTCTCTGTGTAAAATTCCATTTTCGTGTAAATACAAAATTCCTTTAGACGCGTCAATCATAAATTTCAATTTCGTCATTTTACGTGGCTGCGTTAATCTTTCTTTATTAATAAAGTCTTGGAGACTTCCATTATTAGCAAATTCGGTGACCATACATATCTTACTTGGTATAAATACAGCGCCATAGAAATGGACAATATATTCACTCCTAAATTTGTCTAACATGTTCACTTCATTTTCAAACTCCTTCATTTCATCTACACTTCCCGAAGAAGCTTTTATTCGTTTTATAGCAACTGTGTTCCCTCTAAAATCACCTAAATAAACTATTCCAAAAGACCCTTCCCCAAGTTTTTTAACTTCTTTTAACTCATCTGGATCAAGTCGACTTGATATTTCTGTTTTACATTTTAAAGAAACATTTCCAGACTTCTTAGTGCCTTTCTTTAACACACAAGAGATAATTGCGATTTTGTCTGATATCTCACACGTGCATAAAGGCTTTATAAAAACTTCAAATTCACAAGCTTCGCCATTCTTTAACATTGATATTTCAGGCGTCACACGAAATTCGTATTTTTCAGAGTTGCTTTTACTTGTAAATTGCACTTTCATTGCATTTTTCGACTTGTTTCCAATGCATATCAAATCTTTAGTTTCCGTGCCTATTTTGAGGTCGTTTTCTGATTTAAATAACGTATTTTTGTTTGATATCAAATTTGAAGAAATTGTATATGGAAAAGATATGTTCGATCGAGACATTTTGAACACGCAAATTGTGTTGTTGTCCATTTCCGAATACTTTTTCCTCACCAAGAAATTCACAATAAAAAAGATGAGAATGAGAACAATAGAAATAAAGAGTAATATAACTATTATGATCACTATTATGAACCATACAGGCACTTTATATTTACAATATAAGCCATTTTCACCTGGAATGTACCACCCACTGCATTTGGAACACATCGAATTTTGTGTTTCAATACAATTTGTGATATTATCCATTGAAGTGCAATTTTGACCGTCTAAAACGAAGTTGGTTGGACATGAAGTGCATCCAATTTTGTTATCACATGTCAAACAAGACTCTTCACATTTTTTACAGTCTCGTTTTCGATAGGTGTAATACCCATCTTGACACTTGGAACATCCGAATGAAGTCGCGTTGTTTAGACACCCTTCTATGGAAGATTTAAGTTGACATAAGTTGTCAATTGTCATGTAATAATCCTCTTTACATGTGTAACACATACTTTTGGATTGACAAGATGAACAGGAAGAAATACATGGGAGGCACTCTAACCCACTTCGATATGATCCATCAAAACATGAAGCACATCCAGTCCCAGAACTTAACACATCTTTACATCCAGTGACTTCCAAACATACATTATTTTTAAGGTAATATCCACTATGACACGTCACACATTTCGAACTCGTTTTATCACAAGTTTGACACGTTTCATCACATTTCTGACACTGAAAATTGTCGTCTTGAAAATATCCAGACGAACACCGAAGACATCCATATACAGAGGGATATGTGCAATTTTCTATTGAAGAAGAACACTTTCCAGAACTATTTGGATAAAAATCGGGTTTACACTGAATACACCGATTGTTCAAAAACATCTTTGGAAGGCAATTTTCATCATCTACAATACAAAGTCCATTTTGGTCTTTTTCTGCACATAAGTTTTCAATGCAACTTCCATTAAACAAATTGTAATTTGAAGAACATTGTTGACATCCTTTTGAATCACAAATGTCACAATTTAAAAATGTTTCTGAGCACTTGACACACTTTTGATTGGTCAAATAATAATTTGTGTCACACGACAGAATTTTTGTGTTAGAAGACAAAAATGCATTTTCTGGTACTTCACATGTTTTGGTATTTTCATTTTGAAAAAAATCAGTTTCATTGATTTTTACACACATTTCACATTCATCGAGAATTGCGCGTTCACAATTTTCATCTCCAAAAACTGAACATTTTCCATTCAAAATAATTTGATTTCCTCGAGTCGGAACGTAGCACAAATTTCTTGCAGAGTAATTACAACAAGATGGTTTTTCAACACAGTTGCCATTTTCTAACATATAACCTTCGATACAAAGAACACATTGATTGTCTTCATCCGATGTGCATTGAAGACAATTTGTATCTTGACAACTTGCACATGTATTTGTTGTTTGATCGTAATAACCTTCTTTACATACAACAATTCCATTTTTTAAATTAGTAATCATACCATTTTTGTAGTAACTTAATGAACTTGAAGTTTGTGTGTTTTGAATTATAAAGGCGCCTGTTGAAGAAATAAAATATTCTCCTTCCATTGTATTTATAATCATAATTTTTGGAACTTTAGTTTCATCTAAGAGTTGTATTGTAAATAAATTGGCAGTATGAAAATTAATGCTTGTATCATCCATTTGGAATCCTATCAATGTATCACCTGGAGATTTTGTATACGAAGAACTAATTCTGATATAATTGGGGATTGTTACATCAACTAGTTCTACAGTGGAAACAGTCAACGAAATTGGATTAACTTTTATTGTACCATTAAAAGAGAATTGCAAGGTCAAATCATTAATTTTTTGTTTGGGAATAAGAACACACTTATTGTCAGTACATGGGCAATGGGGATTGTTATATACCGTCACTTCATTTAAATTGTTTCCTTCAAAAATGCATTCAACATTTTGATTACTTCCAAATCTCAGTAGTTTCTTGTCTGAAAGTAAAACAAATCTTTTGTCATCAATTTTTTCATCTATCGGACTTTTCATTGAGACATAATCAAATTCTTCAGAAGCTTCCAAGTTTAAAAAAGTTGATAAATTGATGGCAAATGGATATACAAAAGAAAACACGGGGGTTTCACTCGGCTCTCGATTTTCCACTGTAAAAACTACTTTTTTAGTTACATAAGTATCAATGAGATGTTGATTGCATAATACAGCCGCTTTATCTTTTATAATAAATTGTGTTGTGTTCTCTTTTATTGCCATCAAAGTCATGTTTTGTGTTATAAACTGAGAGTTTTCATTCATTTCAAGAATTCCAGCATGTATAAAAGTATCAACTCGAATCGACGCGTCTTTATTCATAACAACAGTCCCATAGTAATTCCCAAATTCATTTCCAATGATTGAACTCTCTTGATTAAGATATAAATTAGATCCGTCGCTTGAACTCACATCACAATCAAGAATTTTGCTCTTATCATTCATTGTTAAATTCCCACTTATTGCAATTTTGACATTGTTGTTTGTTTGAAATTTCATTATTTTTGAATTTTGAGTCATCATCATTATAGTTTGGCTATCTAAAGTAATGTCCGTGTTGATCTTTATTATTCCATTATTTTTTAAAGACACTTTTGAATTTGATATAAAGTTCTGACACCCAACACTTTGACATAGAAGTCGTAATTCAGCTGTATCAGCTATAATAAAACTGGAAGACATATCAATTGAATCTTTAACAAGTAGATAAGAACCGGTATATATCTGAATCGAATTTTTTGTATAAACGGTTCCATCAACATTTTTGTTTAAGAACAAATTAGTTTCAATATACGCTGCATCACTTAGTAACAAATCCGCATCAGCAAGTATAACTTGATTCACAATCATTTTCACCGAACCTATCAAAGTAGTTGATGACGTATGTGTTAAGTATGCTATTAATGACTTCTGTTCTGTGCCAACAATTTCAGTGGAAGTGTCGATATAAAGATCTCTCGTAACGTTTAAATAATTAGTACCTGTTTCAAAATAAGAGTACAGTTTAGATCCATCACCAAAGTAGTTATCAATTGACATAAAGTCGAAAACACCAAAAATAAGAGTTGCATTTGTCATTGTAATGAATGCGTCATTACTTTGGTTCAAAAGTGGAATTGTTAAAGTAAAATTGTTATTCAATGTCAGTGGTTTGTGGAGTTCATATCGTTCTACCACTTTGGAAGAAATCCACCGACTGTTAAACAAAGTTAAAGAGACGTTATGACCAATTCTTAAATTTTTGACATCTTCAAAATGTGGCATTTCCTCTGTCGAGTCTCCATATAAATTGAATTTGACGTTCACGTTATCTAGAAATTTTAACATTCCATTTCTGATGTTCTCTGGAAATTCGGTCATTCCATAGAAAGATATGGTGTACGGTTTTGGTGTAAATGGTGGCTGGAAAATGATTGTATTGACACTTTTGAAACAAGTTGTGAAGCAAACTCCTGATAATATAAAATTTTGGGTTATTGTTATTTCAGTCGAAGTTGAGTACCCGTAATCCTCTTCTTCGTCAAGTATACAAGAATCTTCACAGTCTTCTTCACCAACATAAATTGCATTCACACAAAGGCACAAAAATAAGATGTTGATTATCATAAATATCAAATCTTAAGTGTTTTTAAAAGATTATAAACCAACTTTTTTAAAGCAAGAAATAACCCCATTCGTTTTAATTGTATTAATTGATTATTGAATAATTAAATACTTTTGATTATTACATGTTTTGTTGATTACTGTTTTTTATATTATAAAAATATAATATATTATACATACTTAACAACAAACCATGGTTATACTGGGGTTTAGAACAAAAAAGATTGATTGGGAAGAACATAATTATTAACTATAATTAGTAAATATAAAAATTTTAACTGATTTATTTTTTTTCATTGTTTTTAATTAATTAATCTACTGATATATTAAATTATTAAACTTCACAATTCTGAATTGGACAACAATTATTTAAATAAACAGTTTTAATAATTTTTTGCAAATAATTATATAAATAGTTAATAGTAAAATAAGCTATTTCCATTTATAGAACAACTATAATTGTTTTCCAATCTGTTTTTTATGTAAATTAAATAACAATTGTGAAGAGTGATTATTGTAAACATCACGTTTGATTAAAAATTGCTATTTGAATGAAATTTACAAAAACTCAATCTTTAAAAGGTATTTATTTTGGTAAAACTCAACTCCAATAACTTCTTGATACATTAAAATAAATTTGTCATTTATTTAATAGAACATAAAATGGATTTTTTAATTATTTAATTAACTTTGAAGTTTTAAGTCTTTGAAACTATAATTCAGTTGTTTGTTCTGTCTCTTCTTGAATTAATTTTGCAGTTTTAGTCATTTCTTTTACAATTTCAGTTAATTTGTCGAGTTCTCGGTCTTGTTCTTTCGGTATATCTTGTTTGGTTTGGAGTTCATTGTTGTTCATTAAAGTTTTTTTATCGAGTTTTAAAAAAGTTTTTAATATTTAGATAAAAAGAGCAAGAGTGTTCACACCAATTTACCTACGTTTATTCATTTGTAATTATGACTAAATATCTTCTATAAGAATTCACTCTTATTATTTTCTTATTATTAAGGTAAAGTGACTTAATTAAATAAACAAAAAAATGTGTATTTTTTAAAAAATATATAATCACACTAAAATTTATTTTGATTATAATTTCTTTAATATGATCAATATTATTTACGAAGGGCTTGACAAAATTTACTTAAATTGAGAAGAATATAATATCGTTTAAAATAGAATGCTAACAAAAAAACAACTTTTTGTTACTTAGCAAAATTAATTGGTGTATTTTTATTTATTTACATTTAAAATATACAATAACAATAATATTAAAACACAATATATCAATCGTATCTTAAAAAGATAACAAATCATTCATTACAATTCAACCATCTATTTGATAAATTCAAAATACTGATACATTTAAATCAACCAATTCTTCAATTATTGTTTTAACAATAAATAAGATTAATTAAATGTGAAATTACAAAGACATTTCTTATATGTGTGGTGTTAATCAGCGAATTTTTACAAACAACAAAATGAAATTTTGACTTAAAATATTGAAAAATAAAGTAACTTAATTTCACATATAGAAATTCATTGCTCTTTGTTCTAGTCTTGCAGACTGATTTTCAGTTGCCTTCATCGATACAGATGAAACTGTTTGTTCCATAGGAGCTGTCATTTCCGGTTCACTTCTCTTCGATCTAACAATTTCTTTTTCTTTCCTTTCCTTGTCCTTTGAGCTAAAAAATGATCCAAAGAACCCTCCGCGTGCCGACGTTGTTTTCTTTTTGACACACTTTTCCATAGGCATTGCCATGCAGCATTTATCCATCATTAACATATCATCAGCGATTGAAAGCGTATCACGCTCTCCTCCAATAAAATTATCTTTAAAAGTGACTGCAATGTCACTTTCTTTGACCATTTCAGTTCTGAGTTGCTTCAAGTTTTCACACGTCAAAAAGATAGAAGGAACGTCTTTCAGTTCGTCTTTGAAGATTGAATCAATTTGGACTGTTTCAATTTGTCGTCCGTCAGTCTGCTTCTTGACTTCTTCTTTGACCTTTTCAGCCTTCTCGTTTGGTGGGAGTGCTGCAAAATCGGGACTTTTTGCCAACTCTGCTTTGACGTCTTCGAATATCTTCTTCATTTGAATCTCCTCGATGGCGCCGTTTGTGATCAAATCGCCCAACACACTTGCAGATGAGAGTGCGGCGTATTGCCCGCCAGTGAGTTGTGATGTTGCTCTCATCAGTGTTCTGAAATATGGGACACTGAGTGGCTCAGCACCAACAGAATAGATGACAATGTCCTTCTTCATGCACTCTCGAAGCACTTCAATGAAGTCTTTACCACACGGACACCCATCTGGAAATCCATCACCACAACACCCAAACCCATGTGGTGGCGCATCTGCTATCCAAACCAACACTTTCGACGCATTTTGGCGATATTCCAATTTGGTCACTTCATACAACCCACAGGATACAGACTCGGGGGTGTCTCCACCGCCTTGTGCTTGCATCTGATTGACTGCAGTTTTGATTGTTTTCATCGAAGAAGTGAATTGAGTCACTCGTGTTGCAAACGTGTCGTCTTGTGGGGGGTGGTCGCGATACTCCACCAACGCAAATTGGACATCACATTTCTCTTTTTGAGTGATTGTCGTGATGATCGACTCAATGCTCTGTTGTGCAGCATGGAGGTACGACGACATGGAGCCAGTCGTGTCACACAAAAACACCAAATCTAACTCAGACATTTATTTGTTTTTTGAGTTAATTCAGTCTTTAAATTAGTATGTTATTTGTTATGTTAAAACATCAATGATTTTATTTCAAATAAAAATAAAGTTTAGACATAATAGATGTTTGGTAAATTATTATTAAAATTGAATATATATTTTCAATTTAACTTTGTTTATCAATTTTTTAAATGTTAATAATGTGATGATTTTATTGAGGTTTTGAACTTAAAAATATCAAAAAAGTTAAAAAAACTAAATAATATTTTTAAAATGTTTGATTTATAAATTTTATTAGAATCAATTTTAATTGTTTAGAATAAGATCTTGTTTTTACAATTCTGTTTTTGAACATTGAAATAATGAATGAAATTAATAATAATTTAGATGTTTGTTGTGATGATAAATATAAAAATCAATGAAAAAGTCAATAACTTTCAAATGAAAAAAACAAAATTAAATTTTCATTTACATTGTTGATTTGTTAAGTGAAAAATCAATGTATTATTTTTTCAGTAATTATTTGATATAAAATTGTTTTTTTAAATAAATTTGTTATTTGATATCACTGATTTTTAATATACCTATTACAGTGCTCATTAATTGCATTACAAAAAATAAAGATTGATTAATGAAAATTTACTTATAAAACTCAAATATTAATTATGTGTATTAAAAGTATAATTCATTATTATTTTTTGTTTAAATATAATTTTCATATATATAAATATTTAGTTATTATGTTTATTAACAAATAACGTTAATGGGCAATTACAGATTGAATAATTATATACAATTTGTAACATGATAGTCGAATATTTTAGATATAATAATTATATTACAATTTGATTTTTTTATTCAGAATAAAGACAATATAAATTCTTTTGACATTAAGTTTGTATTAATATATACATATAATATTTCTTATTAAAAATGAAACAAAAAGTTGTTTTTACAATATTTTAAACATTGTACAATGCTATATGCTCAGAAAATTTAATTGAACCGTTTAAACCAGACTTATTATATAATTTCGGAAATTCATTCCAAAAAACTGATTCAACTATTCCGTTTTTTTACACTTATTAAACAAATTCAGCAATTTCATTGAAATTAGATAAAGTTTTTGTATAGATAAGATTGTTAAGAGAAAGGACGGACATGGGGACGAAGGACGGGAATATAGGCCGAAGGATGTCCATTGTGGTTTAAGGATGTCCTCCCGCTATAAAGGGCGTCCTTTATGTGTATATGGTGTCCTTTCTATTATTTTCGTGTCCGCGGCATTTTTTATTCATTATTAAAACTATATAACGAAGTATATTTTTATTATAAATATACAATCAAAAAATATAATTATTTCCAAAAATAAATTAATTCAAAGACAAAAACTATTTAACAAGTAATTTTATTATATATTAATGGTTTATAAAAAATTATCATTTTT